ACAAAGACCACAAAGAAAAAAAAAAAAAAAAACCAAACCCCCGTCTACCATCAATAAAAAAGTAAAAAAATACACAAAAAAAAAACACATGCCAAAAAAGAAACAGTAGTGCCAAAAGCAATAGGAACAACAAAAAAATAGTATCGAAAATGGAGGGAAAGTTTTGGGTTTTAGATGCTTTATGTTGTTTTAGGTATAGATTTTTGTTGAATAGGGGGCTTCGGCTTGGAAAAACATATATTAGAAGGAGAAGGTGTTTGGCCGATGAAAATAGAGGGTATTTTAAAATTTAGGCCCCAACTTTGGTCCAGATTTGGATGGTTCGAAGCTATTTCGAGCAAAATCAAGTATGGATCTGAAACGAAGAGATTGAGAAGAATATTTGGTGAAATTTTGGGGTTGAAAGGTGATCGACCGAGAGTGACCGACAATAATTATACAACGGCCAATATAGTGATAATGATCAAAATCAGGATAGGTTTTATTTTTAAAGAGAGACTTTCTATTTCTGTTAAAGAGAAAAATAGAAATGTAAAAAATTAAATAAAAAAATTTCTTTTATCTTTTATAGTAAGAAAAAAATCACTCTAATTTAATGCGTATGTGCCACAATGTATTAACGGAATCTTAATTTGAATCAATTTTAAAATATTTAATTTTACATTGAATTAAATTAAAGAAAATATTTTAATTAAAAAAATGTCCAAAATCCGAGCATTTTACCCAAAAAAAAATTATAACAGTAGTAATTTGATAGTATTTTAATTTATTTTCTTTTATTAATGGAACAAACCACTTGAAAAAAATAAAACATTTACTAGAGCTATCAAAAACTAAAACACACTTAGACTTTGTGGAAGGCAAAGTTAGGTGAAAAGGAAAGCTTCGATGATGCAATTCAAGGTTGTATTGGTATATTTCATATTACACCTATGGATTTTGAGTCCAAAGACCTTGAGGTATTAATATAATATAAAAAATTGTTCATTTACTTGCTTGGATTAAATGAAATTGTTCTAAACTGAGGCTTTTAGCTTCCAGGTTCTAACCCAAAGATAAAGGCTAACATGAATTGTAACTTAAAGTTAAGAACTAACGCAGACAATCAATTTTTATTTTGCTTTTTATGTTACATTATGAAAAAAATTTAAAACAAAAAACAATAGCACGTGATTTTAATTAAGTTGTTAATTTATATAAGGATCAATAAAACATAAAATTAATTGTTTTTTTATTTGTAGAATGAAGTTATAAAACCAACAATTAATGAAATGTTCAACATCATGAAAGCATGTGTCAAAACCAAAACTATTAGAAGGTTGGTGTTCACGTCATCTGCTGGATAAATCGACGCTGCAGAACACCAAAAGCTCTCTTATGATGAAAACTGTTGGAATGATCTTGAATTTATCCAGGCCAAAAAAATTGACTGGTTGGGTTAGTAAATACTACTAGTTTTCCAAATTCTCGACGAGAACACAATCAAGGGAAAAAAAGTCTAATTCTAATAATTTTTCCTGATTGTATAGATGTATTTTATGTCCAAGACAATGGCAGTGCAAGCAGCCTGGAAGTTTGCCAAAGAAAACAACATCGATTTTGTCAGTATAATACCACCATTAGTGGTTGGTCCATTTATCAGGCAATCGATGCCGCCGAGCCTCATAACTGCACTTTCTCCAATCACTGGTACAGGCTTAAATTGATTATAAACTGAAATTTTTACCATAAAATTTCTGATGGAGCTGTGTTAATAATTCAGGGAATGAAGCTCATTACTCGGTCATAAAACAAGGCCAATTTGTTCATTTGGATGACTTGTGCAAATCTCATATCTTTCTGTTCGAGAATCCGAAAGCAGAAGGTCGCTACATTTGCGCCTCTCACCATGCTACTATCCTTGATATTGCCAAAATACTTAGAGAAAACTACCCTAATATAATGTTCCTAGCAAGTAAGTTCCTACTAAAGATCTGGTAACTGTAATTTACCAGAATTTTGATTCATGGTCTAATGATACAATTGTGGTCAGGTTCAAAGATGTGGATGACAACTTGAAGAGTGTGGAATTCTCTTCAAAAAAGCTCATGGACTTGGGATTTGAGTTTAAATACAGCTTGTCAGACATGTTTACAGGAGCTGTCGAAACATGCCGAGAGACGGGACCGCTTCCTCTTTCTAATGAGAAGAAGATCGACGAAATAAACTAAGAGATGAACCGTCAACAATGGATGCCATGTCTTCCATTTTCGAGTTGTGCAAAATAAAGATTTAAATGAGCCATTAGCCTTCTGTTATTGTAATTTAGGCAAACTTCTTAGAAATCGAGGACCCAATTAAGCTATGAGTATCAAGTTTAACGTGTTTCCATTTGTTGAAAAACATTAATCAAATTAAATGTTATTATGGGTTTCTACCCTTCAAATTTTAAACACCCTTATTTTCATATTCCACCAACAATACTGGTTTTGAAAAGGAGTGGTTGCAGTTACCAAAGAGTCAAAGGCGCCGCCGGAAGAAAAAAATGCGAAAGGAGAAAAGCCTAATGATTGACAGCTACCACTCCTACTAATGTTGCTTTTGGATTCCCATCTTGCCCGCGTGACGAGATTAAATCTCGATACGATAAAAATATGTTATAATTTATAGTGAAAATAAAATTTTATTTCAAATTTGAATTTAGAAATTTTATAAAAGAATGGGTGCTTTAGGTGAGCGTTGCTTTTGTAATATTTAAAGCTTCCTATTATTAAAAACATGGACTCAACATGATTTAAAATGGTTGATTTGCTCATTTAATAAATTAGTTGAAAAATATTGTTGAACCCAACTTATTTTATTGGACCTAATTTACTAGATTAATTAATTATTGATTTACAATTGCTTACGAGTGAAATTTACCTTGATTGGATTTTATTTACCACATTATCTTAATTAAGTAATTTTGTCCAAGTTTAGTGTCCATGTTTAATGGAAATTAAGCTATTCTAGAGCCGAATTCATGATTTCGTCTTCAAGTTTGACTAATATATTAGTAGTAATTAATTCAATTTATAATTGGTCAAAAAAATAAGTTATTGTACACATGATAATTTAGAGTTATTGGACCAACAATTTTGTGAATATATGCATAAATTGGACCCTATGTTAGTATTAAATGAGGCATGAATTAAGAAATTCCCTAAAGCTATATGTTTGACATTAAAATCAAGAAATGTTTGGAAACCTGTTAATTATATTGTTTTAAATATTATTGTTTGGCAAATGAACCAAAGATAATTTATAGCCTCATTCTAGCTACAATTAGGATAGCATTAACTATGAGGAAAAAGGAAAGAGAAAAATAAAAAAATCCAATAACATAAGCACATTTAAATTTATGTAATTTGATCACGAAATAAATAGTTTTTCTACTATTACGAAATCAAAATACAATATAATCTTTTTCAATAGTTACCCTTCCGTGATTACCCAAACCAATAAAAAATCCCTTTGTACAACCTCCCTCAATGGTCCACAAAAACGATTACCTAAACTCATTTGTGCATCTTCTGTTAATAATTTCACAAGAACAATTATCCAAATCTATCGCTACACTCTCTCTCAATAGTTAAATGAAAATGAAGGTTCAAAGACTTCTGAAGAGATGCGTGTATTTTTGAAGCCCTTCCATTCCCATTAAAACATTCTCCTAATTAATGATGTCACTCTCATTCCCTTCTCTCGTGTTTTCTTTTCATTTCCTTTTCCATTTTTTTCCCCTCGATCTAAATTCTAAGCAAAATTGTTAAGGGCATTTGATGCTAAAAAAAATATAATAAATTTTTTTCTTCTATGAAACTTTTAATAAACAATTAAAAATATTTTTATCATTTACGTTGACTTGATATATCAGATCGATTTAATATATTCAATATCATTTTAATTCGACATTATTTTTATTATCTCCTGATTATCTCATACAATTTACTTATAAATATAAAAGTTCAAATACCATTAAAATAAGTTCATTCAACTCTTTTTTTTTAGTTCTTAATTTTTTTTTCAATCTCACTCTTTCTAATTTACACGTCAGAGTGCAAACGTAAAAAGACATAAAAGCCTCTAACCATACCTCTTTTCTCTTTTGTTTTTTCAGGAATAACCTCGAGGTGGAGTTCGACACAAATAAAAACCCTTTTAGCCATTGACACAAGCAAAATAAATGTGAGGTGAAGGAGACAGATAACAAACTTCTTAGAACGAGAAAGGGGGAAAAACGAGAAAAAGAGCTATATAAGGCAACATCGTAGTCACTCCCTAAATATTGGTAACAAGGAGACCTGAATGAACTTCATAAAAATTGTGATTATAAGTTTATGATTGATTTTTACCCAAAAAAAAAAATGAAACTTTTAGTAATTTTGGATGTAAAACACATCACTCTTTCACCTACCAGTCAATCCTAATCTTATTTAAATGCATCATATTACTGTTGAGATAAAGTTTATATATAAATAAAAAATTTTATATCATTAAAATATTTAAATGAGATATTTATATATATATATATATATATGGAGAATCAAAAAACTCAATAATTTAAATTTTTAGATTCAAACCGTGTCTAATATGAATATCTAAACTCTTTGATATGTTATCATAATTTTAAATATGATTTATCTTTTCAATAACTGTCATGATCTTTTTATTAAAACTAATTATTACATATTATGACTTCATTCTTACACACAAAAAACAAAACTGCCCAAGTGATTTCATTCAAGACATTTTATTTGTAAATTGGTTAGGAGTGTCTTCAATACTTTTTGTTCACATTTGTTTGATGTATTTAGAATTTTACTCTCGTGTTATTACTCACAAAAATTGAATTTTAATTGACAAAGAAAAATATATATTTTTTACAAACTAAATTAATCTATGTGGGTTCGTTCGATAATTGAATTTTTTTGTGAGAATATTTGAAACAGAATAAGGTATATATGGTTTGTTTTAAGAAAAACAAATTAATTATGTGATAATGGCTACCAGTGATAATGGCTACCAGTTCCAACTAACCAAACACGTGAGAAATGGTCAGCTGACCACGTGAGTTTAGCTACATTGCTGGACTGAATTGTTAGATGGAGCTAAACATCAATGGCTCGAAATCAAATCATGAAAGGATCCATTTTCATTTCTCTTTCCTTCACTGTCAGTTTTACTACAGGCATCTCAAATCTTATATAAGCTACCAACGCCTGACTTTATTAGAGCGCACAATTGTTATCTTCTATTTGCGGTGAAAATTGGAGTTTTTTAAGCTAAAAACAAGTTTTAGTCCAATTCATCAATCTTTAGAAAGCCATGGGATCAGAATCTCAGACCGTTTGTGTTACCGGAGCATCTGGGTTTATTGGATCATGGCTCGTCATGAGGCTCCTGGAGAATGGTTATACGGTTCGAGCCACTGTCCGTGACCCTGGTTCGTTTCCTTCTTTACCAATATTTCGTGCATGTTGACTTCAATTTTTGACTTCAATCTGTTCAAGTTTGCTTTAATATTTTTGTTTTCCTGATAACAGATAATGCAAAGAAAGTGAAGCACTTGATTGAGCTGCCTAAAGCTGACTCCCACTTGACTTTGTGGAAGGCTGATTTATCTGAAGAGGGCAGCTTTGATGCAGCAATTCAAGGCTGCTCCGGAGTGTTTCATGTTGCTACTCCAATGGATTTTGAGTCTAAGGACCCTGAGGTGTTTTTTTTTTTTTTTTTTTTTTTTCTCTCTCTCTCTCTCTCTTTATCAGTTGCAAATTTACTAAATTTATCCTTGCTTTACCAACAAAAACTAGTTAATTTCCTAATCATTTCACAATTCACAGAAGATTACCATATGGAGTCTCTTGGTTTTTTTATTAATCAGAAGGAAAAACCAATAATTGGTAAAAACTGGAAACCTGAAGTTTAGTGCCCAAATTAAACGTCTATGGTACCAAATATGGGAAATATTTTGGCCCTTGTTAATTTTTATTGTAATAGGTCAAAGTTTTATACTGTAAATAGCAACCCAGTTTTCCAAATTGCTAAGATAATTTTATCAGACTGAGTACTTGTTTGGTTTGCAGAATGAAGTGATAAAGCCAACAATAAGTGGAGTATTGGACATCATGAAAGCATGCCTCGAAGCAAAAACAGTTCGAAAGTTGGTGTTCACATCATCAGCTGGAACTGTCAATGTTGAAGAACACCAAAAACCCGTTTATGATGAAAGCAACTGGAGTGATTTGGAATTTGTTTACGCCAAGAAAATGACTGGATGGGTTAGGAACAAGCCTAGTTTCTCATTTTTCATATCTTTTTCTTCAATTGTTCAAAGAAAAAAGAAAAAAGAAAAAACTTAACACCCTTTTTCTCTGGTTTCTAGATGTATTTTGTCTCCAAGACATTGGCTGAGCAAGCTGCCTGGAAATTTGCTAAGGAGAATAACTTGGATTTCATCACTATAATTCCTACTCTTGTCATTGGTCCATTTCTTATGCCATCAATGCCACCTAGCCTGATAACTGGCCTTTCACCGATCACCGGTACTTTCCCACCGCCATTGCTTTTCTTCTTTAAGATACTATAGCTACAGTTTAACATAAATTTTTCTGTGAACATAATCCAGGTAATGAAGCTCATTACTCCATCATTAGGCAAGGCCAGTTTGTTCACTTGGATGATCTGTGCATGGCTCACATATTCTTGTTCGAAAATCCTAAAGCAGAGGGCCGATACATTTGTTCCTCCCATGCTGCTACCATTGTTGAACTTGCCAAATTGCTGAGAGAAAAATACCCAAAGTACAATGTTCCTACTAAGTAAGCCCACTTTCAGCATTACAAAAACTTAGCATGAAATTTTTTGGTACTTTCCATGGATGAGGTTACAATATTTGGTTGGATGGCTAATTATTATATATATATATATATATATATATATATATATATAAAATTGGTGTTCAGGTTCAAAGATGCGGATGAAAACTTGGAAAACGTAGTTTTCAGTTCCCAAAAGTTGCTGGACTTGGGTTTCCAGTTTAAATACAGTTTGGAGGACATGTTTACTGGAGCTGTCGACACATGCCGAGAAAAGGGATTAATTCCTGCTCCTGTTTCCATTGAGAAGGCAGTCAAAGGTACCACTCCTGCGTCTACTGAGAAGACAGTACTTAATGATACCAGTTAGAAGAAGTAAAAACATCTACCAAAGATATCATCATTGTCATGTTCATGGTTTTGGTAATGGTTGGGATTGAATGAAAATAAGGATTTTTCTAAAGAATTGTGAAGTTTGTTCTTGCTGATATTTTCAATGGGGGAGTGGACCAAATTATGTAAAATCAAGTTTATGAATGTGTCGATTTTGGAAGTGGTTGTTGTTATTGAATTATGATATTTATAATTTATTCCAAAAATTGGGCACATTTATTATGTTCCTATAACTTAAATGATATGCTAACATGTTTTGAATTTATTGAATTGGTAAGATTTAAATATTTCACTTGTAAAATTTAAATTCAAATTTTACTATCAGTAATTTTTTTTTATAAATAATTTGTAAATTTAATATAAATTTTCTTGAAACTTATGATATACCTATCTTGCGATAAAAGAGATTTACCCTCGTCTAAACTTAAAAATGATAACTTAACCTTAAAGCAAAGATTCAAGTTAAAATGAAAGCTAACCAATGATAAAACAACACCCTTTTATATCACCACCACAGAAAAAGCCATGCTCTACAAAGAAAATACAAGATTTTGAACATTTGTTTGGTGATTGGGAAAATTTTCTAGAAGAAAATTGATGTAATCAATCATGAAAATTTTCCCAAAATTTACTTCAACAATGGAGAGATACTACTTGTCCATTACAAGGTACAATATTATCTCAACGGCATTGAGACAGCTAAAGGTGTTGTTACTACTATTTCGTAAGAAATTTCAAGCAAAGAAAGGGCATAATTGAGTATATGTTTTAAATGGTGGCGATTTGACTTCCAGTGGCGACCAATGTCGGTGGCTAAAAGTTATGGATTATTGTTGATATATACTAAAGCCTAAAGGCTAAGGTTTTGTATTAAATGGGGATTTTTAGCTTTGATTTTTTAAAATTTTGATTATATTTCATAATTTAAAATATAATATGAATACAATATAAATATAAGATATAAAAAAATATAAATTAAAATTTTAATAATTATTATATTTAAGTTTAATAAAATAAAAAAATTTATATTTTTATGTTAATATAATTATAATAAGTAATTTATATGAAAGATGATACATATAAATAAATTTTAATATTTTATATGAAATAAAATATTAAATTATCAAATTTAGGTGAGATCACGATGGTACCTGACAGCATTGTAGGTGAAGAAAGTTGGGTGGTTGACCGTGGCTGTTTTGGAAGAAGAACGCAAAGCCGTGGCCAGTTGGTCATGGATTAATAAATGGCTGTTCATCTATAGTCTATTCTCAAACAATTAATTTGAAATAGGCAAGTGGTTGCTTTCTTTAATTGTTTCCACCAAAAACCATGTTGGATTACTAATTATTTTATGAAATTCATTGGATTTATATGATAGGGATAATTCAAACTTAGGTTTTGCTCCACGTAACTGTGACATTGATAGTTTAAGATTTTTAAGATTAAAATTGGTGGTGAAAATTTTTTTTTTTTTTTTTATAATTTATATAAGTTTTAGCATTAAAAGAAGTTGTGCGTTTAAATTATTTCTTTGATATGGTTTTTTAAATTAATATTAATTGAGAAGATTTTTTGTATTTTAATATTTCTTTTGTCTCAAATTATTTAAGTGTTATCAATTTCATGAATTTAAAATAAAAGTTTCAACTTTAATATATTTAATATTAAAATTTATAATTTTTTTATTAAATTAAAGTTTTATGATTTTTAATATAAAAATAAAATAATTTTAAAATATATAAAAAAGTTTTAGATATAAAAAAAAGACAATTTTTAAACATTCTAAAAAATATATAAAAAATAAAAAATAATTTTGTAAAAAAATATTAATAACATATTCACTTGTGGCGCACTTGATAAATAAATAAATATTTATACACATGGAGAGCCTGGATTGGGTCAGGCAAAATCCATTCAAGGATTAGGCCCTTTAAGGCTCGGCCCATTAACTCTAGTGTGTTTTGAGCAGCCCTTTGGGCCATTACTACGAAAAGCCCTTATCATAAACCTTCTTAAGCCCCTACGAACTGGGTTTTCACTTTTTAGCTGTTTGTCTTTCCCACCAAAATCAATGGCGGCGATCTCTGGCCACTGCACATTCCGATCACAAAAGTTCCCTCTCTCTGCCACCGCCTCCTCCTCCCTCACTGGCGGAGCTCTCCTATCTTCCCGCATTTCCTTCGCTTCTCCTCTGCCAGTCAGCCGAACCCATATCTCTTGCCAGGCCTCCTCCGCCACTTCACCACCTTATTCCTCCGTCAATGGAAGAGGTTCCTTTTTTTTTGTTTTCGCCTTCAGTATTTTGGCCAATTTCTCTTTATTTGGATATTGCATGTGCGGTTTCTCACGATTTGATTATGAAGTTAATTTGATGATTGTGCTTGGAATTAGGGTTTGAATGTTGCTTTAATTATTGCGTAATAATAGAAATGTTCATTATATACATAAAAATTTCAGTTTTTGAATAATGTAGGGTTTATATGCTTCTTGATAAAGTTTCTGAAATTTTAGGTTTTTTTTTTTTTTTTGCTTGATTGGTTAATATTGGTTCAAAGTTTATGGAAGTTTTGAATTTGTAGGTTTTTTACTTGACTGGTAAATATTGGTTCAAAGTTTATGCGTCATTGTTTAGAATATGGAATTAATCAATATTAAATGTATCTAAAGCTCCTGCAAAAGTTTTCTTCAAAATTTTGAATGGATAAATTGCTTAGCTTTACATAGTTTATTGTACTTTTCTTCATTTTTTTGTTATTTTACAGCAAAAGGGGAGATGAAGGATTTTTTGCATATTAGTGACTTTGATAAAGCCACTATAATGAAGATATTAGATAAGGCTGCAGAGGTCAAGGCACTGCTAAAATCAGGAGATAGGTCATTTGTTCCATTTAAGGGGAAGACTATGGCTATGATTTTTGCAAAGCCATCAATGAGGACGCGGGTTTCATTTGAGACTGGGTTTTTCTTGCTCGGAGGTCATGCTATATATTTGGGACCAGATGATATCCAGATGGGTAAACGTGAGGAAACTCGTGATGTTGCTCGTGTTTTATCTGGCTATAATGACATCATCATGGCGCGTGTCTTTGCTCATCAGGTATGATGGTATTTTTTTTTTCAAGTAATTATACTTAAGGGTGGTGTTTTTTGAATGCCTTATTGGGGAGCAGAGGATTGCTATAAAGTTCATACTTCATGTTTGATGCATCTTTTAATGTGAAAATTTTTAATTTCTGTACAATTTTTTGCTTAAAGATGCAATTTGTTTATCTGTTCTGTTGCAGGATATTCTTGACTTGGCTAAATTTGCTACTGTACCTGTAGTTAATGGTTTGACAGATTACAACCACCCTTGTCAAATAATGGCGGATGCACTCACAATTATAGAACACGTTGGCCAGTTGGAAGGAACCAAGGTGTCTTTCTAGCTATTTCACCTTGTTTGCTAGCTTCTATATTGTGGATCTAACATCTTCTTGTATGATTTAAACTGGGTTTTGTGTGAATGTAAAATTTTAGGTTGTCTATGTCGGAGATGGAAACAACATTGTGCACTCTTGGCTGTTGCTGGCTGCAGTTGTTCCCTTCCACTTTGTCTGTGCCTGCCCTAAAGGTTTTGAGCCTGATAAAAAGACTGTTGAGAAGGCACAGCAAGCTGGGATCAGTAAGATTGAGATTACAAATGATCCAAAGGAAGCAGTCAAAGATGCTGATGTTGTGTATACAGATGTGTGGGCTAGTATGGGGCAAAAGGAAGAGGCTGCTTATCGTCATCAAGTGTTTCAAGGATTTCAGGTGTGTTTTAGCCAGGATTCTTCTTTCACTGTATTGATATCAAGATAGAGTGATAGGGAAACTCTTTTAATTTATACTGCTATACCTGATTGATGCCAATATTGGGTTTGACTATGCTATCTCCAACTGCACATTCAAACTTCCCAGCCATAATATTTTATTCCAAAATTTATAATGAAAAATTCTCTGCCTGAATTATGATTGATTTCTTTGTGCAAATTTTAATTAGATTTATGTGTTATTAAATACAGTTTGCGTAGTGTTGACATGCTGCTTCTCATAGTCGATCATCTTTTTATCTATTGATATTTTAATTCTAAAGTGGAGCAACTTTCTGCATTGGAATCTGATGTGCTGTGTTACATGTCATATCTAATCTCCATGCCATTATTTTGCTTCTTATCAAATTTCTTGTGTTGGTCACATCTCAATCATGTCTCTGTCCTGATTGATTTGCACAACCAATGCAGGTTGATGAAGCTCTTATGAAAATAGCAGGCCCCAAAGCTTATTTCATGCATTGTTTGCCTGCTGAAAGAGGAGTAGAAGTGACTGATGGTGTTGTTGAGGCTCCAAACTCGATCGTCTTCCCACAAGCAGAAAATCGCGTGCACGCACAGAATGCTATAATGCTACACCTACTTGGGGTATGATTGCGTGGCAATGCTTCAATGTTCAAATGAAAATCGATTACGGCGTGTTACTTCTGGAATTCCATTTTCAGCTCAGAAACAAACTCTAAACATTTGTGAGTTTAGCTTCTAGCTTTTTCAATGGGTGCAAGGGCATTGAAACTTTAAATATTAGTATTTCATGTGGCGATGATAATCCAATTTCAAATGCTGTACATTGCGAGTGTCAATATTCTGTTGCTAACACCTTTCTCTCTTGGGCACCCAAATATTGGCGCAGAAATTTGTTTGATTTACTACGATATGGAATTACAGCATGCATTTTAAGCCAGGCAAACGAGTAAAAAGAATGCCTACGACTTGCTTTCTTCGTGTACCACTGCCGTCACTGTAGCCTCCACGAAAGTGATTTTCTACCATTCTTCCGCACTAAATTTGTTCCAAGCCTCCTGGAGATTGCGCATATAAAGTTAATAGCAAATCACGATGTAATTGAATGGTATGATAGGAAAGTGTTAACAACTGAAATTTTAGATCTTTGTTTCTTGTTTCCCTCACTTTATGAAAGAAATAAATTCCGACCAAATCAATGAAAGAGGAGTAGGGGGGAGCAACAAACCTTTAGAAGATCAAAAACTTTCTCACAAGTGTACTTTTGCTGTATGCTTGCACCTCGTTGCTGCAACTTGTCAGGATGAACACAAAGAGTAGCTTTTCTGTATGCTTTTTTTACAGCTGCAGTGGCTATGATATCAGTAAGGGGTATCGGCTTCCAACCGCTATCTGGGCCAAGGATCTGCCAGCAACGCAAAGTTTCAGTTAAACCAAGATTTAATTCCATCTGACGACAATTGCCCACATAAGCGTCAAAGATGCAGTTCTTTCTACAAAACTTGCGTCTGAAAATATAACTGGGTGTTAGAAGAAAATAAATTAGCAATTGGGAAGGAAACCCTCGGTCAATACAATCCAGAGACCAGAGCCAGATGATCCATGCTTTACGCTGTCCTAAATGGTTAATGATATAATAGAAGCAGAATGATTCATATGAAGAGAAACTTATGAACATATGTAGAAAGCTGTCACGTACATATTGTAATGTGGATAGCAGTGCACGTAAATTTCCCTGCTTCCCACTTGACCACCTTTTGACTTCAGCGTCCAGAGTTTCTGCTATTCTCTGCAATATAAATTAGGATCCAAAACTGCTATAAAAGAACTGAAGCATTCCTAATTATTGTAAAAGATTTCTCATTTCATTTGAATGGATAATTACATTTCTTTCAGCTTGTTCTTTCTGAGCAAGAAGATCACGCTTGTTCTTCTCCGCAAGAGCTTTGGCCTGGAAACATCCAACCCCAAAGGTGAGCTTTTCACATTTCTGGAAATACTTGTTTTGACATCCTCAATAGGGGTTTGGGGGTGGGGAAAAGAAAAAAGGGAGAGTAGAGAGAAAGAGAGCGGAAGGCTTACTGCTCGTTCGGCCGTCCTTTGATGCCTTTCCAACCTAGCTTTGCGTCTTTGAGCCGATTCACCGGTAGCTCCATCCAGCCCCTCAGAAGAATTTGAAGCTTCATGAAGCAAAATAAAGATGATTCAAGATTTAAGAGTTTTTTTTTTTTTTTTTCTCTTTTGTGCCAAATAAGTAATCTAATTTTCATAAAAAGTTATGGCTTTTTTTTCTTCTTTTTTGCTTAGTCCGTGCAAGGGTATATTTAAATACCGGTATACCACGTGCCACTCTGATTTGAAGAATTAGGATATCTGGAAGTTGCAGGAGGACATGATCCTTTGTAACGTGAATCCTGTGAGAGATTCTATTAATCATTTTTTTGCCCTACCATTCAAAAACAAGCTGCAAGATTAACAGGGAAGAGAAATGCATGACAAAAAGAGACACTCACATAAGATTGGAAGCTCTGCTTTGCATCAGAGAACTTTTCAGTCTGGTTTCTGGATCCAAAGGAAGCCTTCTCGGATAATGCTTTTTCTAGGGCACGTTGCCGGGCCTCTGCAGTTGCTCTCTCTACTGCAGCACGTTCAGCTTTAAGTTTGGCTTCCACAAAATTCTTATCATTGGCCTCTGCGGAAGGCTTGGCTAACTCTCCTTGGGCTTCAGCCTTTACCTTACGCCGTGCCTCTATATTTGTTCTTCCAGCAGCAGCCCTTTCACGGGCTTCTACGAAGGCCCTTTCACGAGCTTCACGAATTGCTCTTTCAACAGCTATTCTCTCCTTTTCTTTTTCCCTTTCCCTCTCTTTTGCTTCATCTACTCTTCTTTGTTGTTCCTTCGCTAGATTAACTTCTTCCCGGGAAGCATTTTTGGTTTGCCTCTCTTCCGTCTTCGGGGATTCATGATGACTCTCCCCATTGTATTCTCTACTTTGGCTTGTTTCAATATCATGAGCTGTTTGTGTGGTTTCATGTTTCTCTCCAAACTTACATTTTAGCTGAGCATCAACCCACCTTCCCTCATAAGAGATTTCAGAGTTATGGTTATTCTCTTCCTGTTTCAACCCAAATTCAGTCTCCTTGACATCTTCTGATTCACAAGCCAGTTCTTCAACAAGCTTCTCCATTGTGCAGATTATTTCAGACTCTTCGGAATGCTGCTCATATTGGTTTTGCTCAAAAGTTATATCTGATGTATCAATATCTATATTGCTTCTGTCAAAATCAAATGCCTCTCTAGTATTTTCTGTTTGCTGCTCAATCTCATTGCATTTCAAGTTGCTTTCCGCCAAATCTGCCTTATCAAATGCCAGGTTTTCCTCCAAGTCATTAGTCACTTCAACTGCCTCTGAATCTCTTCTAGTTTCTTTACATTCACTATAAGCTTTACTTCCTTCTGCTATCCCTCCATTTTCTTCATTTACAAGTAACTGTGGAGTCATTTCGTAGCTGTCTTCATTAATAGAGGGTTCCATAGTTTCACCAAGGTTGTTGATTAGATTGTCATTGTTTGCATCATTAGCTGCTTTAAGATCTTCTGGACAGCAGTCCAGAGCATCTTCCCTTGCTTCTGTCATCTCAGCTGCCATTTGATCAGTCTGTTTTTGCATATCAGTTCTCACACTCTCAGGAGCCTCTTTTTGTCCATCCTCCTCTGCTTCCATCTGATAAGCATCTTCAAACAAGTCTTCATTCTCTTCAGCCTCCAAAAATTCCTCATTCCCCAATGAATCGCCATTTTCTTCAAGTCTCGTCTCCCCTTCCTCATAATCCAAACCATTATGTCCCAGATCAATAATTTCTGGTTTCTCAATTTTGTCTGGCAGCTGTTCATTGTCTTCTCTATCGCAAGCGTATTCTTTTTCTGATCCACAAGCCACTTTATGTTCCTCTTTCAGTTCTGATCTCTCAAAAGCATCTTCAGATATCTTCTCAAATTCTTTCTGCATAGAAACATCTTCTGTTAGCATCTCATTCTCATCCTTCTCAAAAACATCTTTTAAAGCAGAACCATTTTCTTCCTGTTTAAGCATATGCTTATGTTTCTCCTCCATATCTACCCATTCCTGAGCAACTGTTAGTCCCTCCAAATTGTCAATATCCTTTACTTCTTGAATTTCAACCTTTCTCTCATCTTCTGTCAGCTTCTCTGGATCTTTCAATTTCCTCTCACATGCTTCTAGTTCATTGCACACTTTCTCTTCAGTTTCTTCCCAATTCTCAGAAAATCTTAGTTTGGTTTCATCTTCTTTCTGATCATAAAACTCTACATCTGGCTTCAATTTGTGCAGATATTCTTCCTTATGGCATAACTCTTTTGATGCATCTAGTTTCCTCTGGTACTCCTGTTCAGGAGCATCCCCAACAACTTCTGATTTCTCACCATATTTTTCTGGTTTTTCGAAGATTTTCTTCTCTTCTCCTTCATATTCATTTAGAGCCTGCATTACATCCTTCTCTTTTTCTCCCTGTTTTGCTGCTTCCCTCTTTTCCACTTCTTCTTGCCTAAAATCAGCCTGTGATGATATGAAATTATTTGCACATATTGCTCCTGCAGCTTCTCTGGCAATGAAACTTTTCTCCCTATCTTCTGATTCAGCAGCCACTTGGCCAACTTTCATCACATTTTGCTTTCTTACTCTAACAGAAGTTTGCATAGTAGCATCTATCTTTTCACATATCTCCCGAGCATTATCTTGCTTGAAAGCATCTATACCCTTCTTTCTCTCCTCAGCTTTCGAATTACCATTAGAGGTTGGTTTGACACGACCTATATGTCCTTTTCTTCTTTCCATCATTTCTTTTGCAACTTTTAACCTGGCTTGAGCCTCCTCTATTGCCTTCTTCACTGCAGCTGCAGAAGTAGCAGCAACTGAATTTGCATCCACTTCATCATCAAAGTAACGGGGAGACCAAACACCTTCATTACCATCTAAAGAATGACTCTTGGATACCCCAAACTTCGAAGAAACATGCTTGTTACCACCCATGTTATTCATCATGCTTGAAGCTCGTGTCATTTTGGGAGGAGGTGTTCTACGGCCAACATCATAAGACCCAAATAATACATCATTAAAATCAAATCCATTACTTCTAGATTCGCTATGCAATTCATCAACGCCTTTCGGGTTCTGTTTATTAACATCACTAGGTGGGACATTGGATGCCTGTTTCTTACAATGCATGCCTTCCATTATCCCCCCACCAAAATTGCTGGTCTCGTATGGCTCATTTACAACAGAGGGAACTGGCTTGTCTCTTGATGGAGTGATACTTTCATCAATTAAACATGTATAACCAGGTACAGCATGAAGCTGAGCGACATGTGTTGTTCCATTTGACCCATCTTTTATTCCAGGGCTGCTTTTGTTATATGACATTTTGAACTGCTTCACGCCATTACCTGATTCATGGGAGGTTTGATCATTCGACAAACTCCCCATAGGAATACTCGAAGGATACGAGAATGACCCTTCTGGTGTCCTACAAAATTCATTAACTCAGGCTCAATCTTTCACCATATGAAAGTTAAAAATATTTAGAGCTACTACTTTCTAATAAATTTAGCATTCATTGACAATGGGCAAGGTGTTAAACTAAGGTCAAAGAGCCAATACAGCCCTTCTCCATAATCAAAGCTCACGACAGACAGTTAAAACAAAAAGGGTGTGTTTTTTTTTTTTTTTGGAGAGCCATGAAAGGTTTTGCGTTTGCATAAAAATGGAAACTTTTTTCAACACCCAAACACGCCCTAAGACCTTATTTAACAAACTAACCATCTCAAATAAACAGAATAAATAGAAAATTGAAAGAAAAAGACTTTCTATAAAAAAAAAGAAACTTACTTTTTATCTCTTGTTGGTTTCGCAATGAATTCTTCATGAGAAACAGCAAAATCTAAGTCTCCAAAACCGCCAAAAATATTGGAATAATCAAGCTTCGAGCTCGAAACATCGACCGAGAACTTCCTCTCGTTCAGCTCAGGCACATCAAGAACCGGAATCGAAGAACCGGAACCGCCACTAAATATCTCGACGTAATCTTCAACTCTCGATCCTACCTTCCTTTGACCACCACCAAAAATGCCGTCGTACATGTTTTTACCGTTGAAACTGTGACCATTACTAACTTTCTTAGAGAAAGCCGTAGCAGCCGAAGCTCTTTTGTATTCCATTGAAACGAAAAAAAAAAACCTTAGGGTTTGTTTTTCAGAGTTTTTTATTATAATCTTTTCTTATCCTTCGGTTTCTCTGTGGAGAATAAAAATGGTCTGCAATCTGCAGAGTACAAGACATGGAGAGAAGAAGATTGAAACGAGAAAATGAAAAGAGTTTGTTTTTTTGGACGAGAAAATGAGGAGAAGAAAAACATTAATAAAATGGGGTATATTTGTCAGCGTACGGTATGTTAAGGACATGGTTGAAAGAATGGAGGGAAAGATCAAAGATCAAACTGAAGTGACCGGCTACAGCCAGTGAGAGTAGTGTTGTTCGTGAGAGAGCTGAGGTTGGCATTTGGGCGTCACTTTTTTCGATGATCAGATTCAGTTTTGTCTGCTGTCGTTTTACTAGAATGTCTTACTAGAATGTCTTCTTTCCAGGTTCCAACCTGTCACCAATAGTCGACGCCGACACGGTGGTCAATGTAGGGTAGTTGGGATATTTTGTGGTAAATGACAGGGATGGTTTTGGAAGTAGGACAGTAGTTTTTGCGAAAATGGTTTAACGTTCCAATACAAAAACAGCTGGCGTGTGTTTGCCGGGACATCTGAGATGGTGAAATTTAAAAATAAAAAAATCAAAAGCTATCATTTTTTTTTTATGTAATAATAAGATCAAAGAGATTCTCATATTTTTGTTTGATGGGTCAAATCATTACCTTTTTATAATTTCAAAGAAATAGCTTTAAATTTGAGGCATTTGGTATTAATGCAATTATTTGACAGTCCAACCCTCGTAATGAGAAAGATGGAATTCCTTTGCTTCACATGACAAAGGAGAGAGGGATGGAGCTGTTGGGGAAAAAAACTAGGGAGGATGCGAAAAAATAAAAAATAAAAATTGATTCGAAATTATAATATTTAATTTAATTTGAATTAATTTTAAACATTAAATATATGTATTAAATTTAGATTAAATTTTGATTCAAAAATTTAAATTTTTAAAAAAATTAAATCAAATTAAATTATATATATATTTAATTTGTATATATATTTTAAGTTTTATAAAATAAAAATAATAATTTTATATTAAAAATTATTTAAATATATTAAAATTTTATATTAAAATAAAAAATTAACATATTAATAAATTAAATTGATCTGAATCGATAAAATTTGATTTAATTAGATACAAATTGAATAAAAATTTAAATTCAAATCAAATTTTAAATTTTTATAATATTATATAATACTTAAAAAAATAAAATCAAATTCTATATTGTTATCGTCTTAGAAAAAACCCTTCGACCAAGGAATTATTGGGACCCTCCCCATTGGCCCCTGTCTCAGCCCCAGACCCCACCACGAGTCCATGACCAGGTTTGGTTGGATGAGTAGGTGAGTTTGCCATTCCAAGCTTGTTTGGTCATATGACAGCTTATTGTGACGACATTCTGGTAGACTCAAGTCAAAATATTTGGTGGCAGTAGTAGTAGTAACAGTAATAGTGGCGGTACATCTCTTTGAAATGATCTCCAGCTTTCACATTGCTGGCTTCAAATGAGTGAAATTACAACCGACATGTTGTGTGAAAGCTTATGAAAAATTTAGCTATCATTTCCAAGAAGATTATGGTTTATCAATCACCCCAAACGAATGTCCCCATTTGACAAGTAAAAAAGACAAGAGGTTAATGATTGTCACGTAGAATGAATTTTTCCCTGTTCTAATCATTTGAAATTGGTCCTGACCCACCGAATGATGGCGTCTCTTCTTTTCATAGCTTCTCTGCATTCTTTGTTCTTCCTGCCATAACCAAAATTAAAGTGGCTTTTAGAAAAGAACAAGATGAAGGAAAACACTGATTTGATTTTCCAGGAGCACTCCTTTCGTTAATGCTGAGATAGCACAGCACAGGCTTTTCTTCTATTATTAGTCAGTCTCAACTAACTTTCAAGTCATATTTCCACCCTGGTTGCATCGTCTGCTTACGTCTTTCTTGTGTGAGACATTCCACTGTTTACTCCAAAGGCGATTCAAAGATTTCGGTTAGCCCAAACGCAATCTTCAATGGACAAAATCTGGATCAAAATTCTGCCAGCTGATTTCTTCAATAGGGAACAAGAAACAAGAAATTATGGGGGAGGTTAAAAGATGGAAAATTATTGCTAACATGAATCTTATCAAAGCTAGAATGAAAGAAAAAGGCAACCACTGACATGGAATATCATTACAAGCTCAAACAAGAAAAACCAATCGTTATGATCTAAGGCCTGGGGAAAATGAGAAAGTAAAATACTTTATGAATTATGATGATTTAAGGAGACTAATTTTCCTGAAAGTAATGAAAGCCCTTTAGATCTTAACACCAACCGAATCAATGTCAGTTTCATAAAGAATTCAGAATCCAAAGCATAAAGCAGAAGCCAATTTAAATTGCTTCTTTTATGCTCAACTTTTTCTTTGGATTACTGCTTTTGATCTGAATTGCTAACGCCATCCACGAGAATCTAGTCATAAAATGCACCTTTTCATGCAATGAGAGCATCTTAATTAGGCTCTCAAATGACGCCTACTTTATTTATCTTGGCTTTAACCATAGAATAAACAGTATATTATTTTATCCACCATACCAAAATTTGTAAATTCAAATACATTGCAAGTATCATCCTAGAGCTAAAGTGACAATACTTTATATTGAGTTTGAATTTCCCATCCTTTGATATCCAAAAATTTTTTAATTTCATTGATAATTTGTTGAGGTCAAAACCGATGTAAGTATTCATGTTGACGCTCAAACCAAAGAGTTGGAACTCTAAAGTTAAAGGGCTCTTCAATGATTAAATTCATAAGTAAATATACAAAGAGATGAATTAACGAGAGAGTGATGTAAAGTCGGCAAAATAACGTGAATTCAACAAATTCGTTGGAAACCGCTCAACTTGAATTAAAGGCACTTTAAAAATGAAATTAATTTGAATCTAAAATATTTTAAATTGAAAAAAATAATTTAAAATAATTCAAAATTAAATATTTGATTTTAAATTTCAAAATCAAAATGATTTGAACTAATAATTTAAATTTAAGTATTTTGAATATCAAATTCAAAAAATTTAATCCCAAAACAATTAGAATTTTATAAATTCGAAAATAACTTGATCTAAACCAATCTAACTCAAACCCGATCCGTCAAACCATCACCTTCAAACACTAGGTAACATGATCTAGTAACTAAAAAAGTTTTATGAGAATATAAAAATTTTGGTTTCGAATTTTTTTTTTGTTATATTAAGAAAATAAAACCTTAGTACAAGTAAAAAAGAAAAAAAAATCTAAATCGAAATCAAATTTTTGATATTTTTTCAAACGTTTTTAACCATTAAACAAAAAATTTGACACTTTGGATTCTGAGTTAAGATCTTTCATTTTCCCCTAGGCTCTCTCTTTAATAAAAAAAAATGATCTCAAGAACAGGTTATTAGACGGATGATTTCAGGCCAATCGGCCCATTTTCCCAATATTATAGCTCCATCAGGCCATTTTTAATGCTCTATCCAAATATCAGGGCTATTGGCCCATTTACTAGTCGAATGACGCAAGTCAGATTAAATCCGGGCAGAACCAAACCATCAAAAGGGCTTCTTTTTGGGTGTGCTGTTCTGTCTTTGTCTTGAAGAAGAAGAAAAGAAGAAAAACCCTCTTAAAATACAGTCCAGAGAGAGAGAGAAAGAGAGGAAAAGCAAGTTTTTCAGTGGAAGAAAGCTAGCAATCAAAACGTTGCCGTAGGGGAAAATGTTCAGGAACCAGTACGATACCGACGTGACTACATGGAGCCCCGCAGGGCGGTTGTTCCAAGTGGAATACGCAATGGAAGCTGTGAAGCAGGGCTCGGCGGCGATCGGGCTTCGATCCAAGACCCATATCGTCTTGGGTTGTGTCAACAAGGCTAACTCCGAGTTGTCTTCTCACCAGAAGAAGATCTTCAAAGTGGACGACCACATCGGCGTCGCCATAGCCGGTCTCACCGCCGACGGCCGCGTCCTCTCTCGTTATATGCGAAACGAGTGTATTAACTACAGCTTCACGTACGAGTCGCCGCTTCCTGTAGGCAGACTCGTCGTCCAACTCGCCGATAAAGCCCAGGTCTTTTTCATTTCTTGAGATCTCCAATCTTTAAACTTCTCCTAAAAAAAATGTGAACTTTATTCTTAGTGTAGTTAAAACTGATGGGTAATGTTGATTATTGGGTTTTTTTAGACAAATTAGTAATTCGTTTAGTGTTTTAAACTCGAATTGGTTGGTCTCCGCTGAAGTCTTTACAAGCATGAGGGTTTTGAGTAATGCTTTGAAATAAATCAAACTGCAAAATTGAAGCATAAAATGGTTATTGACTTAACCAGAATGCTGTTCTAATTGATAATGACCTCACAGTTAAGGCTTTTGTGTAGGAAACATTGGCAGATCAAGTAATGTGGAAACTGTAAGTAAGTAGAATTGCCCATTTGCATTATTGCAGAACTGGTTGATTAAAATAATATCCAAAAGTCCTATCCAGAATAGATGACAATGAAATGGATAATGAGGATTAGTATGATACAAATGGGAAAAGGGTACAACTGAGTGAATCTCCTACTTATGGTTTATATATTCAATTGGTGAGTTAGCTTTACTTGGAAATTGAGGATAATAGGTTGAGTGTACCTGGGATCAAATTGACTAGGGCAACAATCTCATATTTGCTTTTTTGTTTGTGACAAAAAACTTCAGGGTGTAAAGCAGGCAATAGGTTATGCCATAAAAAGGATGATTTTAAAAGATTGTTGGCGCTTATGAGTGCCTTCTGGTTACAATTTTAGTATCTTGCTTAGGCTTCCATTAATTGAATGATTGAGAGGAATGGTTTCCAACTCATAGAGCTTGGCATACCTTTGTGTGCTCAGGTTTAGCTGCACTGGTTTAGGTGATTGAGTAGCAGTTTTCCAACTTTTTCATGATTACTTGATCTGGAATCTGTATATTTGTTGATGTAAGAGTTGAGGTTGTCAGTATTACTGCATTAAATGATGTCAAGTCTTTGAGATTGGTTATAGTCAGTAACAATAAGTTTTGGTAGATGATCTATGTTTTCATATGTCTCTTTGATAGTTATTTAAAAAGTATGGAAGCCTTTGATGTTTATCTTTTGTTTTTTTTCCTTACTATTCTGTGCTTACCCATTCAATTTGCTGCTAAAATTTTTTTATATTTCTCAACAGTATTAGGGGCATGATCTTAATTCTGTTGCATATTTGAAGGTCTGATATTATTTGTATAACCCCTATTAAATGAAACATAGTTGATGCTAAAGATAGCAATTTCTTGTGGAACACAAACCTACTAACATAATAGTGTTTTTTGTTTGGGCAATTGAAAAGGGGAAAATGTTTGTGTTTGGTGGCAGGTCTGCACCCAACGCTCTTGGAAAAGACCTTATGGTGTTGGCCTGTTGGTGGCTGGCTTGGATGAATCTGGGGCTCATCTCTACTACAACTGCCCAAGCGGAAATTACTTTGAGTACCAGGCTTTTGCCATTGGATCCCGCTCACAAGCTGCAAAGACGTACTTGGAACGCAGGTTTGAGAACTTTGCAGATTCCTCACGGGATGATCTGGTCAAAGATGCTCTTATGGCAATAAGGGAGACCCTGCAAGGAGAAACTCTAAAAAGCTCAATATGTACAGTTGCTGTGGTAGGGGTTGGGGAGCCATTCCATATTTTGGATCAGGAAACTGTACAACAAATGATTGATGCCTTTGACATTGTCGGAGAGAAAGAAGGTCCTGCTGCCGAACCTGATGATGCAGCTGCAGGACAGGAGGTTGAAGCTGAGCAGGGTGCTGCTGCTGATCAGGGTGGTTCTACCGATGAAGGTGTGGCCCCAATGGATATTTGAGGATGCAAGAACGCCACAGTCCCATCCTTGTCTTTAGATGAGGTTTTCTAGCATGTGTTTGCAGATTTGAGTTAGGCACTGCTAGACATTATTGTGTTGGATATATCCTTCTTTCTTATGCAAATTATCTTCACCCTTGGTGCAAACATGCAATGCTAGCCTGAGCTGAAACTTAAAACTACATTTACATTTATACTCAAGATACGAAGTTGTTGACTTAATTTAAGTGTTACTACTTTGAATTATGAAATTTGATGCTAGTCTCTTGCAAGACAAAGATTGAAGGGGCAGACATGAGGATTTGTGATTGACTCAAATTTGCATCAAGGGCACAAAGACACCCATAAACGTTAAACAACATATAGATTTTGTTCTACTAGTTCCTAGTTGTACGAACTCAAGTATAATGGTGGGTATTTTAGCAAGCTGAACGTGTAGACATCCTATTGAAACTTGACTTCATAGATTCAAATCTTTGCATGTACTGAAAACGGAATTTTGCGCGATAGCCAGTCTTGTTCATTTTCCAATACGGCCAATTTTAAATTTGGACCTTAATTTCTGCCTTTGAATTGCATGTTTAGGAAATTTCAGAACCAGTTTGGTAGTCTTTTTTGATGATTGATGCATAAAATGACAATTTTATGATGCCATTTAACATTTCGTGGAAGAAAAAGAAAGAGGTAAGATAGGGCTTTTGCCTCTGGTAACACTCAATAGGACTGAATTTCTTGCAAAGAAGTTCCTACAGAATAATTCAGTGATAACTCAACATTGCACATCCTAATGTTTCTGTTGAAAACGAGGAGTCGTGCGCACAAGTCAATCAAGCCCCAAAACGCAACTAAAGCTGCCCTTTTCTTCAGAAAAATAAATCATAGCAATGAAAGTGAATAACATGCTTATTTTGTTATGAAGACATCAGTTCCGAATATCGGGAAGTGGGAGGCCCTTGATCTGCATCTGCTTGAACATCCATTGCCAATTCTCCGGTGTTACCTCACCCCCAAGTGAACGAATCACTGATCCACCACTACATGAACCCATTTTGCAACATTCCTCAAGAGATAAGCCCTTGACCAATCCATATAAGAAACCACCAGCAAACAGGTCCCCAGCTCCTGTGGCATCAACTGCTTTTGCCTCCCCTATAGCTGGAACTCGGACAATCTGTCATAGAAGGAAATTTTAGTTGGTCTGTCTTCAACTAATGACAAAAAGGAGGTGTGATAATGACATCCGGTTCATGCATCTCAAATCACGACATTTATGGAAAAAGGGCACAATTTGGCCATACTCTCCAAGTTGAGATTGGTAACTAACCACTTTAGAGTAGATGGGCATTCCCTAAATGGCTGCATTGATAGGTTGAAATCATCTCAAACAGTAAGAATTTGTGCCTAGTGAACCACACCTCTAAACTATAAAAGACTGAAAAGTATGAGAAACGACAATTAGTTACAACGTTGCAACTTGCAAGTGACCTACCTCTTGTCCATGTTTCGCGATGCATCCATTGGGACCTAACGTAACCACAGCCCATTGGCAATATTTGGACAGATATTCCAGCGCAGCTTCAGGATCCGCATTCTGGTCACCCCTAAAGAGGTAAAACAGAAAAATATATATCAGCAGCGAACAACTGCAGTTACTGCAGCAATTTCTGAAATCCTGAAAAATCAGGAAGAGGGACTCCATCCATTAAAAGAAAAATGACAGCCACCTTAGCAATTCTTTCGCTTCATCCTCATTGGCAAAGCAGAGGTCAATAAACCCTGACTCCAGCAACTGTAGAAGAGGTTCTCTAAAATTTCGAACCATCTGACCAAAGTCACAGACTTTATAAGATAAAAAATTCAGACCTGAAAATTTTGATATTGAAAAGCACAATAATGGAGAGTTGAGGAGCAGTTAGATGCCAATGAGTAATGAAATACCTGCACTTTACTAGAATATCAACCAGAGGTCTAAAGATTTAACCATTATGATCACTTTCAAAATTTCAAAGAAAATAAACTGCTTGAATTACATATTAATTCAACTATTCCAGCTAGCTATTTCACTCTGCAAATAACATTGCATTCAGCCTTCAGCAAAACATAAAGTTATTACAATTACCTCAAAACTGGCCAAATCCAAGGAGACGGAAAGACCTTCTTGTTTGGCAATTCCTATAGCTGCTTGAATAACTTCCAAATTTAGTATCCCGTATCTCATCACCAACCACTGCAATGAAAGATACATCATTAAGTTGAATACTCTGAAATCAAACCAGCTGCAAAGAGCTGAATGATGTAATGTAGTCAACAAGTGCAAAATCTATCCAGCAATTTTTGTAATAATGAAAAGAATATGATAATCAGATAAAAAGGACCCACGCGAACAAGGGTCCTCTGTTATAATAGACAGGAAAATAATTTTTAGAAAATCTACAAACATCTAATCCTTTTTTTTTTAATTCCATAAAATAGGACTCACCTTAGAACCACTAAAGTCCTCGTTGGTCAATTCATCACTCTAAAAAAAAGGAAATAAAATTAATTGTAAGTTTGTATTCACAAAGGGGCAAACATAAATCTTTAAAATCAAGAAAGAAAGAGGTTTAAACTAAATAAAAAATGCCGATTGTAACATTCACCTGAACTTTTACAGCAGTTGATAGGCAAGGTCGCATTGTTCTAATGCCAAATGCATCAACTAGGCAAACACACTGCATCGTATCATTCACTAAGAAAATTTCAATACTTACCATAGAATGCACAATTAAATATCATAGAAATTGAATCAAGAAGATCACCTGAGCTGTAGGTCCCTTCTTCTTTCTCAGTCTAGAAATATTAACTCCACTAAAGTTCATGTTATTTACAAACAATCGACCCTGCTCATCATCCCCATAGGCCCCAATCATTCCACAGTTAACCCCAAAGCCTGAGCTAAGTCCTCGAATAGTATTTGCAACACTTCCACCAGCCATAGTCTTCACAGGAGATGGACTATCAGCTGAAATACGGATGTGCTTTTTCAACTGACTTAATATATGGCCAAGGTCCTCGATTGCCACCTACATAATACATAAAACCCATTGACTTCAACTAACCACAGAATATATGTATGATTATTGTCATGCTCATCAAACAAGAAAACAGTTTTAACTTTTTCAGTTTAAGGTTGAAAGCTATTATTTTTGTTTGGACAAAAAAAAAAAAAACCAAGTAAAGAATTAAAGAATGTGAGCACTTCAAAGCAAAAAAAAAAGTCTTGTCTGCAAGCCAAAAACCGCCATAAAAATTACATGACAAAGCCTCACATTCATCAACCAATAAAAAAATCTAACCACTTTCTCTCAAACAAATAAAATTCTTTAAGCCCTTTTTATGGTACACAGAAACATAGCAGAAAAAAAACTGAAACAAAGCTAATGCACATAATTTGATAAGAAAAATTCAGAAATTATACCAGATAAAGTTAAGAAATTAGCATAAAACCAGTACAAAAGTTGAGATAGGAAATTAGTTAAAAAAAGAAAGTACCGGAATAGAGCCACCACGTTCACCGGGAATTTGATCGAGCAAGTCATTATCCACACAAGCCACATGATCAATGAGGGCGGCTGGTTGGAGTCCCAGTATAACAGGAGCCTTAGCCTCAAGCTGAACCCGTATCTCTCCGTTCTTCACCAAGGTTTCTGCTCCCATAGTTTTGGTGCTGGGTGGCTCCTGGAAAATGATATTTCTAATCTCTCAGGTCGTTGAAGTGTTCTAAGATTTTCTCAATGAACATAAAGTATTATATAAGCAGAGAACCGAACCTGCGTACTCCTGCAGAAGGTGGGGAAGGACCACGAGAGGCGCTCTTCCACTGCCGCGTCTGCCCTTATTCGCCTATTTTAACCCTTTTTTTTTTTTTCCTAGTTATATTTATTTTCCTTATTGTTTATATTTATGTGCATATAAAAAAATTGGACCTTTTGGCCCAAAAACAAGTGTAAATTTGAATTCATAAGATTAGTCCAGTCAATAAAAGAATAGAATTTTTCTTATTAATTTGGGGTCATTTGTCGAAAATATTATGAAAATAAAATTTCGAATATTTGGTATTGAGATAAAAAAAATACATTTTTAAAATAATTCAAAGAGAGAATTAATTTCGAATATATTCCAAGAATATTTTTTACTTTTTTTATAAAAATTTGTGTTTTTTTTTTGCTACCTCTTATCAAAATCTCGTCAATTCTAAGTTGTGATTAGGACGGCCCTATGAAGGTACTAAGAAGGTTTTGCTTGCAATACTAAGCAAAACCTTCGGATTATTATGATTTATCTTGTTTTGTTTTTTGGGGTTTGTCGGTTCATAGTTCGTAATGATATTATTGAATTATCCATTTTGTTCAAGCCATGGGGAAGTTTCGATGTTGTTTCTTGTTCTAGTAAACATTTACTTGGAACTTGACTTCTTAAATTGTAAGATGTCGGTCCAATAAATTTGATTGTTTGTGGTAATTTTTTTTTCTTTTAGCTTTCTGTTGGTCCGAAGTGAGTCCAAATTGGTTAGTATCTGCAGCTTTATCTGAAGAAAAACGTCTCAATCCATTCTCAAAAAACAATGGTGATCAGAACATGACATGGATCTTTGCCCTCAATCATAAAAAGTGACTTTGGAGTCAATTTGTCAAATAAACTTTATAACATCAATTACGGTTGCATTTTCTTGGCAAGATTTCATTGCTTGTAGCATTTCATGGAAACTGATCACACATACGATAGATATTTCTGAAAACAACTATGGATTCTTGATGTAAAATAATCACAATCACAAGTTTTCTTTTATATATATATATATATATATATATATATATATATATAAAAGAACAGCAACCAATCTTGAATACGTCAACTTCTTAGGAATTGAGTTATAATAAAATCGAATTTTGATCCTCAAACACTTATAAAATATTATATCTTAATTTTCTTTAGTCTTTAATTTTTTCTGTAAAAAAAAAAAATAGAGTTTCAGATATAAGCAGTCTTATGAGATAACTGATAACATGGTCTAATCAAAACAAATATATTGGATATAGTTTGCCAATTTTGGCTCAATATGGAGGTGGAGACGAGACAAAAAGAGATGTGAACCTTGCAGCTTGTGTGTGGGCGGTGCGGCATTTCGGCTTGGCCCTTGCCAATTGCCACACCTTAAATTATACTAAATTACTAAATTCACAAAAAAGAAAAAAAAAGTATAAATGGATGGACAGAAACAAAAGTTAGGGGACGAAAGACTGAAAGACAAGAAAAGAATGGCCTATCCTTGCATTGCAGGCTTCAAATATCCACGAACCAGCCGAAAGATAATAGCCATTTGGACATAGCTTTCCTCAAGATTCTCACTTAAAATATTTTCAGAGCATGAGCCATATGATCATGCTGCTTTCTTTTGATTGCTTTATGCTGAAATCGCTTTGTCTGCTTTCGATCAGGGGAGCTGCTTAGGTTAATCATTGGCTTCCCTATGCACCTCCCTAGTGCACTAGACTATTATAAACGTATATCCACCACTAATTGACCAGTGGTTAAGCGTCACTCACTGCACTAACAGCATTTTAATGCATGTTAAAAAAACATATGTACAACTTAAACAAAGAAAAAGTCCTAAATAACTTAAAAAATGACTTACATTAAATTTATAAATTATTCATAAAAATTATTATTAAAAGTAAAATTCAAATTTAAATCTTATAAATAAAGTAATTAAATTTTGTTGACTCAACCAAGCAGTCGACAATGCCTTCAAATTTAAGTTGCACCCGTCCAAATCTGCCGCTTTTATGACAACGACAGATTTGGATGATTTATATCAGATTTGGATGACCCTTTTTTGTCATCGCCAATCAAAAGCCAGCTGAAATTACGGGGAAAGTGGGAATTGTATCTTTGGCTTTTTTAAATTTCCATATGAAGGCTTTAATTATATATTGTGAAAAAGATCAGATCATTAGCATTATTTTATAACTATAACAATAAAAAACACTAAATAGATTGGCATTTCTCAACGTGGGTGGGCTTGGGGTGAAGCATTTTCGCACATGGGTTAGGTATTTGCGCTTATGTCCTAGGCTTTTCATTTCCCACTTAGTAGTGTCATTGCCCTCATGCCCCAAGTTAAATTGAAAATGGTTGTACTCAAGGAATCAGTTGAAGCAGCAAATTCGTTAGAACATTTTTTATCAATAATAAGGGCATGATCCCTTCAAAGATTACCTAGTATTGACAATTTTGTTTATTACTATTAACATTCCACAATTGAAAAAGAAGCCCTGGGCCTTGGACCACTTGTTATCCAAAAGCCTTCCTGCGTCTGAGGCTCAGAAAAGCACAATAAAGCCAGTTGCTTTATACTGATCCACAGTGAGAAGGCCCGTTATAGGAACGTTGGTCCAAATCCTGGTTCCTAGCTCACAGCCACGAAGAAAACAAGAATCTTAGGTAGAAGGAACATTAGATATCAAAATACATTCCTCCGGTCATGAAATGAGTCTCTGAGTAACCATACAAAGAGTAGAGCTTATAACTAAAAAGGAGCCATGGCTCTATATAAAACATGTCCGGTCTTATTGGGAAAGAAAATCATCCCTCTGCCATGTAGTTGCACATAACAACAAATATTCCTCAATGCCAAATCTAAAGGCTTGAAGCAAACAAATATTAACTTGTGAAAAAGATCATTTTTGAGAAGACTTCTGTTCTTTATCTGGTAGGATATTGTCTGGAAGAATTAGTTCAGGGGGAGTTTCCCGTACGATGCCCAGCATTGAGTCATACTCTTCATCCCTACGAGCAAACTTCTTGCGGAGAACTTTCTCAAATTCAATTTCATCAAAGGGCTTTGCATTCTCAGCTGCATGAACCTGAGCAAGGTTGGTATAATTGGTGGCTGACTGAGAAATAAACACTATCTCTTCATCAGTTAGCTTCCTCAGGAACTTTGCTGGATTGCCTCCCCACACCTGTTAAAAACCAATGAAGATTGAACACCCGCATCATCTAAATTAAAACTTCCAAGTACATTTTTTTCTGCACCCTGTCGCTCAATATTAATACAAGCAGTAAAAACTGTCGCTGTATTATATTTGATACCAACAAGTATCAAAACACCTATTTTATCTTTATGTCATCTTACCTTAAGTATATATTCTCTATTTCTTTCCATGTTTCCTAACTTTTAATGCATGTTTCGATTTTTTTTTTTTTTTATATTCATACACGCTAGCATAAGATATGAAATTGCCTTGATAAACAGATCAATTCATCAAAGATTTTCAACAATATGGCCATTAGGACAAAGTCCAAGAAATAGAGTTCACACTACCTCCCCGGCAGGGATCCTCGTATTTTGTCTCACAAGGGCTCCTGCAGCAACCATAGCATGTTTCTCCACAACTACATCATCAAGAAGGGTTGCTCCCATGCCGACAAATGCTTCATCCTCAACAGTACAGCCATGTAAAACAGCACTATGACCTGCTCATTTCAAAGTTTCAACCATAGCCCATGAATGGAAGGAACTTTTATAAGGTTAATTCAGACGAAATTTATGGCCAATGCTACTTTACTCACCAACAGTAACATTATCCCCAATGATAGTTGGTAGCACTTTCCCACTTAGATTAGACTTTGCCACATGCACAAGGGAGTTGTCTTGTATATTAGTTCCAGATCCAACACTAATGCTGTTGACATCCCCTGTTCAAAGAAAGACTTGGGATGATTATCAGCAAAATCTAGTAAAACCTAATGTCAAATAAAATGGCTCTAACGTAAACAACCACAATTTAATCTTTTTGAACAAATTCAGATGGACAGGAAAATTATAGCTTCCTGTGCACTGGGTGGTTAAATGATAGTGGGGGTAGGATGTAATCTCAGAAACCTTCCTCTTCCTGAGATATGATACTGAAAAGTCAAAATCTATTACCATGCATTAAAAAAAGTATTACGAAAAAGGGGGTTTTTCTATGATTTATTCAGGAGAGATACTCTAACCCTACATTGTAGCAAAAGGGCTTTGCTATGTGGTATGAGGCCTAGGCATGTGAATCAGTTTTGAACTTTAAACATACGCATGGCAGGGCATTTCGATCGGAGCAAGAAAATAATCATCTGAAATACCCTTTAAGTAGAATCCAAATACTCTATCTTCATAATATAAATAAACAGCTTCATTTTATAGTTAAGGAGAAGAATGATAAATACTAGTAGCAACAGGTTTGCTCTGAAGGAGAATAAGTTTGCCATCTTATGCATTTTGGTTGTACTTATGCTTTAAGAAGCAAGTGGAGTTGGGTAGGACATGAACCGGGTGGAGGATAAGGTATAAGGTACAATTTACAAGCATCCTGCTTGTGTGAATCAATACATTGTTTAGGCAAGCTACAAAGTTAAGGAATTAGTTTGGCCAAAAAGAAAAAGGTTAAGGAATTAGTAATGCATATCTCGAAGACAATATCTTACATCATCAAGAGAAAATAAAATAAATATAATACCAAGTACCAACAATTAAAAGTTGAAACTAATAATTAAAATTTCAAGCTACATTCCTCTAAACCAATTGTTAAAGTTGAACCAAGTTATATCCCTCATTAAGACAAGCCACATTCCTCTAGGCCAATGAGATGAACACAGACATTTGCTAAAGTTAAAACATTCAGAATATGTAAAAAAAAATCAACTCAAGTCTGCTAGCTTTATTCACATAGTTTTCGAAATAAAACACACTGAATAAAAGCCAGTGCAGTATTACCATTAATGACACCTATTTGTTTCTTACGTCACCAACTAAAAGTTAATTAGTGTAACCCTAGACCTTTTATACTCTAATTTATAGACATGAAGTTGGATACCATCCTTTCTTGAATAATTTTAGTAAAGACTTATACTATATTGTAATAAAACAAAAACACCAAATTGTGTGTATAAGCAAGGATCTTACCCCTTAAAACACATCCATACCAAATAGATGATCCTCTTCCCACCTGAACATTGCCGATGACAGAAGCACTAGGGGCTACAAATGCATCCTTGTCGATCACAGGAGCTTTATCAAATATGTTCATCAGAGTCCTATGCCTAGAAACTAAGAAAAGAAGAATACCGTAAACGGATAGTCAGATAACGGAAAGAAAGCTAAAGCAACATAAGCAAAATCCTATCTTTGAACACAAACTGTAATGATAACAAATAAGACAGTAAAATGCAGCCGAATTTCCACATAAATTAGCAAAGTAAACAACCAATTAACCAGTACAATTATCTAAACAAGGTTATTGAAGTTCTTTTTTTTGGGGGGGGGGGGGGAGAAAACCCTAAGTCTATAATCCATAGCTACGCTTTATGTTTTCATACAGAGCCAAGCTAATAGTTTAACAACAAAATCAACGAAAATGTAAGCTATAAATGAAAACAAATACAAATTATTTGGTATTTGAAATCAGCTGAAAATCCCTAGACATTAAATCCTTAATCAATTTGGAATTAGCAGAGATTAGCTTAGGAATAGAAGTTGAAGAGGGAAAAGAAACGAAACGGAGAAGTGGACCAAACTCACGTTGCTCTTGGAATAAGTAGTTGCCTTGGAGTCGGCAGCCGACGCGATCGAGGGCCTGGCCGGTCTCGCGAATCCAGAAACCAACGGTGTATATTGCTTTTCCTAGGGTTTCCATCTTCAGATTCGTTCTGGACAAAGTTTTGATCGATGATTTTGCAGTGAGTACGGAGTAACCAGCCCAGGCGTGTGTGTGATTGGGAAACAAAGCACGAAATGGAGAAATGATGCTGTTACTTTAGTGGTAGGGTAGAATATTCTGGGCCTCCCTCACCCTCAGGCCAACTTTGGGTCTGAGTCGTTGACTTGACTTAAGCCTTGAGCCCTTGACCCTTGAGTAATAGCCCAATAGTAATAGAGGAAGCGATAGGAGTTCCATTTTTATTCACATAATTAATTATTTTAAATAATTCAAAAATAATTTTAATTTTTTTGGCCGAAATTTTTTTTTACAATTATTTCCCTACAACAATATATTTCTTTAAATTAATTCTTTAATGAGGAAATTGAAGAATTATACCATAGAAATTATTTTCTACTCTGTTCTTGGTTTCTCATGGAATTTCACTTGGAAGAATTATAGACAATTATGCAGGCTGAGATTAGAAAGGCTTTGGCCCATACTACTCTGCTATTGGATTGTTCCATTTTTTTCTCATTGTGAAGCGTCAGACAATGCACATAGGAAGCAGGTCAGAGCTTCTATTTAACTATTTTGCATGCATAGTTTTTTGTTGACCTGGTATTGGCTTTGTGGATGGTGTAAAGGGTTGGCAGAGGTCAATGTTATATTGCCGTTAGTTATTGACGAGCCATCAAGGAAAGCTCCCCGGAATCTTTTAAGCTTGATAATTCGATAATTGAAGTTATCGATTATGACGTTCTTAAATGGTAGTGTTGTCAACTGAATGCCGGAGCAGCCTTGAGAAAATTGACTTGGGGGATGATATCGATCATGCCAGATCGATGTCTAGTCTTGAATAACAACTCTCCAACAACTGAACCGCAATAATCTTCATAAGTTTGTTGTTTGTACTTGACTTTGATTAGTTTAGGAAAAGAATATTTGAACATTAGTATTGTTTTATAATAACATTTGTTCCTTAAACATGGCCAGCTAATTTGTTAGAGGTTTTGTCTCCGTCTCTTTCCCTCGCTCTCTCCCTCTCAAAATGCTTACATTAAAGCTCTCCAACAACTGATCACTAGTGAATCATTATTCCTTTGAAAAATGAATGGGAGAACCTTAGTGGTGATATTCTTCTTCTGGGCTGCTCTCACAATTATCACCCCTACCCTTGTTCTCTGGTCAGAGTCATCCAAACCCGAGATGGAATTGAATGGTAAGAGATCATAACTCTTCCACGCTTTTCTTTTATTTCCTCCCTGGATTTCAAGTTAAAACTGTTTTCTGGTTAAAGGATTCTTCTTTTAATATTTTTTCCAAATGTTTTGCTGATTTCTTTTGCTTTGTATTTTACAGGTCAGAAAAGTGATGGAATAAAGGATAGGAAAATGATTGGCTATGGAGTGAAACAAGTAAGCAATGCAACCATGAATTCGACACATTTGGAGGCAGCAGCCACAACTGAGCACCAGAATTGGAGCTGGATTCAGGAACTTGAAAGCTGTGTCAGCGAAGTTTTTCAAAAAGCAATGGGACTGCTGATCAGGGTCAGCTAAATTCAATTATAAACCTTCCAAGAAAGTATAGGTTTGCAATCCCACCTTTTCCTGATACGTACTTGAAGGAATTAATCCTTTGATACAAGAACTCAAGTTCATCAGGTTTAAGTCTGCCATGTCATTACTGAAAGGAAACATGTAAAAGTGGATGAGAAGGCAAGCTTGCAGATATCTTAGCCTTGTATACAGAAAACAACTGCACAAAATTTACATATTTATTTCATTTTTTCTGAAAGTTGATTGGTAGAGGTAGATAAATTGATGATGAAAAACTGGATAGAGTAGGTGAAAGAAAAAAGACTAAAAAAAGGGCTGTTTAACAGCTTTATTTATAGAAGCTGCCGAGCTGACTTAATTTGTCCTAATGCCGATTGTCCAAGTTTGCTAGAACAATGTTAGTTGAGGAAGCTGACAGATGATTATAAGGTCTAACTAATGATTCGAATCAAGTTTTCAAGTTATATTTTGTTAATCAGGGACCATCCGGGCCATCAGCTTTTAATAGTCAGGAATCTTGTTATCGAATCACGATGTGGTATTGGATGAATTAAGAGAGCTGCAAGGTTTGTCTTTTGTTCCATAAGATGATCAAGGCTTGTCTTAATCATTGCCCGAACACATTCAATATAGGAGTTAAGAATAGGGATAAAAGTTAAAAGAGGAGAAAATTTGCTTGCCAAATGCTGTCCTAGTTAAACCCATAATCGTATAAACCCCTCCTGTTTTCGGTTAGTGGTCGGTATGTTCAGCAGAACTTCTAATAATGGTGAAAAATCAAGAGAACTATGCAAAGTGGTTGGTTTGGATTTGAGGAATCAGACCTTTCTCTTTCAATGGAGATTAGGCTCCAATATGCGATCCTTGAAAGCCCAATTGACACAAACATGTTTTGGGACGATGTTATTTCTTTAAACAAAAACATCACATTTTCCATTGCTAAATTAATATACTCACACACACAAGTTCAACACAATCTATTAAAGTCTTGGATTAGGTGCCAAACGAAAGATCCGGCTCCCTTCAGTTACTTTCCAATAACATGGGTGGTTCAGGGGTAATTCATTGATAAATAATGGACAGAAAAGTGACGGACAAAAACCAAACCCCCCAAACAAAAGTACAGTATCATATTATAGTAATTCATGTTTTGGTTGATAAGTTCAAAATAAGAGGATAACTCCACTCTGCATACTCAAGAACATTTTTAGTCCTGGGACTCGGATTTTTCTGTTCAAATTCAATGCTAATATGAAAAATTATATAAGTAAGAAAAGTGCTGCTCTTAATATAATATAATTTAGATAGAACGGCATGGTTCACATTATGTTGAATGACAGCAATAAGAAACTAACGAACATACACACATACACACTCCTCAAGCCCTCTGCACAAATCCCTCAGTGAAGGCCTCTCAATTATTACTAGCATTTGTTTAATAACAAAGGGCTTGTTCAATTTCTTTCTCAAACAAAACGACTGAGGTATTCTTCCACGGTGGTATATTTCACTTCAGGGTATAGCTCAGAAGCCTCGAATCCAAATGATGGTTCGATCTCAAAGTTGGTGTTATCTCCATTCACAAAGATTGAGTGACTGATCGCCAAAACAATATTCATTGGAATTGGAGACTCTGCAAGAATTGATGAATACCATACATCACATTTCAAAAAGAAATAATAATAAAAACAAATAACAAAAGAACAGATTGGTATGAATAGCACTTCAGAAAGAATATCCTAATGTGTCAACATTCCCCTTGATGAATAATCCAATGGGAGGTTTAATTAGCAGTAGGTTTGAGTAAAATAAGAGCAGGAGATTTCACCAACCTTGGATCTGTTTGAGAAGTTGGTCCTCTGGGACATATGTTTTCTCAAGTGTTTTGCCAATCAATTTCTCCCACAGGGCAACAATCTCGTTAAATGAGTAGGTGTTTTTAGGAGGCCTGATGAATAGGCTCTTGTTCAATGTTCTGGGGTCATCAACAGCTTTGATGGTGTAGGTGCCGATGTCACCTTCAGAGTTGAAAACAGCTGCAAACAGAATACGATGCAAACAGTGATTAACATGCGTTGTTTAATTTCTACAACTAACTCTTCATCAACTTTCTGATAAGTCCTTGGATTTTATATTATCTCCCTTTATTTACATAACAAAAAAGATTAAGAACTAAAGTTTTACCGTGTCCCTTTCTTTTTCTAGCTCACTACAACTATAATTTCCCATCATTCCATGAAAGAGTTATCTCTAGCAATGAAGTTCAATGCAAAGTAATGCATTTACAGACCAATAAACCATTATCCATGATAAAAATGTCTGTCTTGTTAAGGGATTTCCTATGGTTAAATACTTGAAATGGAAAAAAAGCTGATATTAATGAGCTAATAAACACTATTTACCTCTAGGATTTCCATTGCCTACGATAACGACCTTGTCTCTTGGGGGAGCGGTGGCTCCTGGCTGTAACAAATTTGGGAGAAAATAGCCTGCAAAGCAGTTAGCGGGCACATAAGTGTAAGGGATGCCTTCAGCCTCAATAGTACGACGGATTTGAGCCTTGATTGCAAATGCTGATTTCGCTGGCTCAACAGCAGTATTCAGGTCTGGATCAGTTCCAAATTCCGATGGGAAAAATCTCTGATCAAATAAAAAACCCTTAGAATGGAATGAAGAATTTGAGAAAAAAAAAAATACTAGTTACCACGTTTTAGTATAACCAATTAATTAGTCTCTTCCACCAGGGAAAAAAATCAGCTCAGTGCCTGCAAATTTCTTTGTTCCGGGGCCACCAAAATGTGTTTAATTATCATACTATGCATACTTAAAGCTGTTTAATTTGTGCTACAAGGGTGAGAAAATTTACTTATTTATTAGTTGTAAACTGTGCCATATTTTATCGTCACAACTACCAGCATATTCTTTCCACAATGGCGGCAATCATGAATCGAATTTCAATGCACAATCTAATAAATTCCAAAACTTGTGTTTCCTAACTCAGTGCTTCAAGGTCGCATTAGTATGCAAGCATTTTCTTTCTTGGGTTAACAAAAATCCAAAAATTTTCAACTGTCCTAACTTGAATTTTCAATGTACAAAGTTTAACACGAATCACAATGGTTTAAGCTAATTTCACTTATAGCGATGTCAGATATACTAAAGACCACCAAATAAATGCCTGAATGTATAATTTGAGTAAATTGACTGAGAAACCCTAACCTTCACATTCCCAGCTTCTTTAATGGCAGCAATGATCTTAACTTGATCTGCTATCTGCATTTGACCTACGGCTGATATTACCACATCAACTTGCTTTATTGCCTTAACTAAACTCTCATGGTCGTAAAGATCCCCCTGCATTTCACCAAAAAATAAAAAAAATAAAAATAAAAAACTAAGACCACCACCAAAAGTTTTCACAGCCATGGATGTACGTCCAAGTTCACAGGAACACAAATATTACTTACATACAACAATTGGACCCCTAAGTTCTCGAAGTTCTCAATAACTTTTCCCTTAACAGGATCAGAGATGGTACTCTCTCTTACTAAAGCAAAAGTGGGATGACCTTCTTTTGCACTGGCTTCAACAATGAACTTTCCGATGTATCCAGTCCCTCCAATGATCAATACCTTGCTCTTTCCAGCCATTGAAGAATTCTTCAGCTACAGGAACGATAACCCAAATGAGAACCAGTTGGTACAAAGAGGCTTTGGATTTTGTTCTTGTAATGGCATTTGGAGACAAATGGAGCCCTCTATTTATGGACGAAATGTGGGATATGAAGTGGCAAGAATAGCCTTGTTAGTGGGAACCAAAGTGGTTCGAAGATTTTCAGATTTTTTGACCAATTGAGGACAACACCAAATTAGTTTCATTAAACCGTAGGAATTTGTTGGTCTGTCATTGGAAAATCTTCGTTTGGGAGTAAATAAGAAGATCAGCAGTCATCATCCAAAAGATCAAAGAAGTTAAGTCGTCGTTATTATTAAAACTTTATTTCTGAAATGTCTAAATTACCCGTGCATTATTGAAGGAGCTTCGTTAGGTGAAGGCCAATATGGATATTTCACTTAATGGACATTAAAAAATGTAGCGTCAATAAAAAAAAAAAAATCCTGACATTCTGGAGACTGAATGAATGTGGCCAAGATGCTAACAAAATCCATTTGCCTATTTAAAGCATTGGTATGTATTAATATAGCCTTATAAAAAAAAAACGCAGTTGGTGTTTGCTTAATTCAACTGGCAACAATAACAAATGTCCGAATCGCAAGACTACAAAAGGATTTGGAGAAAAAAAATGGACAAAAAAATAAACGTCATGGAAATAACAGTGTGAGTTTGCGTAAATTAGTAAGTTTGGAATCTATTGCGTTAAGGTTTAAGATTTTATCATCTATATATTTAATGAGGATGGATTCACCTATGATAGTGTAATTATTATATTTTTAGATTTTTATATCAAAATTATTAAATGTAAAATAAATTTGGATTCAAGGATTAAAAAAAAAGAATTATATTAATGTAAAGTATGTTTCTACTCATTTTTAATTAATTACATCAATAAGAGACTTTAATATGTATTAAGTTTAATTAGCTCATGTAATATTTTTTTTAATAAATAATATTTAATAAATTTAAAATTTAAATCTTAACTTATAATTTTTTAGAAATATTGTGATTTTTTTTGTAAAAAAATTAATAAAAACTAATTAAATCAAAATGTCTTACATGAATGAGCTGGCTTAAGCCAAAATTTCAAGAGAAGTTAGGTGGGAGAAGATGATGTTTTGGTTTGGTTACCACACAACCGTGAATTTAATCCAAAAGAAGCGTGGTACTATGAGAAGGTTAAAAGGGTACTGTAGTATTTACTTGTATTGGTAGAATAAGGAATGATATTGAAAATATTGATGATAGTGAAATTAATTATTAAATAAAAAAATTGAGTAATGTAATGATGATATTAAAATTAATAATGAAATATGTGTTTAGATATAAATATAGTAATGACAATAAGATGAAAATAAAAATGATAATTAAGGATATTAATATAAAAGTGAATTAAAATTTTATTTTGTTGCATATTTTAATTTCATTTAACATTTAAAATATTTTAAAAAATTTTCTTAAGGGCACAAATGAATAAAAAAATAATCAGTAAAAATAATTTGTTATTTTTTTAATTCAGTAATAATTATTTTTTAAACTATATTTATTTTAATCTCAATAAAATTATATATATATGAATAAAGTTAAATTAAAAAAATATTGGTACAGACAAAAGTGTCCAAAACTAGATTCAGTCTTTTCTCATCCGTGGAATGCAACTGAAACGCATTCAAACAGCCGATTATAATGCAATGTACTAAAATTACTCTATGGCACCATAACAAGGATGGGCCTGAGAAATGAAATAGATCCATCATGATTTTGTCATGCTCGCGTTGCAAGCTGAAGCACGGGCAATGGCCCTACAGTATCATTCGGCCTCAAAAAACTCAACCAAGTGGGTAACAGATTCAGCATTGGTCTCAGCCTTTAGCTTTCTCTTTATCTGTTACCCTCCTTTTTTTTTTTTTCCCTTATTTTTATGTGATTTCGTTCTTTTACACATTTTAAATTAGGGTCTACAATTTAACCCATCCTGACGAGTTTTCATTTTATTTAACTTTATGAGATCGATTTTTTTTTTTTAAATTCGAATTTCGAATTGGATCGAGTTCAAATTTTAAGTAAATTTAATCTGATATTATATAAAAAATTATTTTTTAATTAATTATTTAATTTTTTATATATTTATTTATATAATAATATTTTTAAATATTTATATTTAAAAAATAATATTTTATTAATTTTGAATCGAATCGAATACGATTTATATAATATCGAATCGGATTTGAATATAAAAAAATAAAAAAATTGGATAAGATCAAGTTCAGAATGAGTAAAATCTGTTCCGAATTCGAATCGATGACAACTCTATTTTAAACCCTTAAAAGTTAAATAAAAAAAGCCTCTAACAAGCAAAGAATTGGCAGACCGATTCAGGTATTCTTGATATAAAAGTCACTAAATGTGAAGACTATTATATACTCAAAACATTGGCTGTATCCTCAGAAATCTTTTCTATTTCAAAGAAAAATGTTTTTAAGGTTAAATCTTGGGGACTCTCTGAGTAATGAGGTTTACAGCTATTGTCTGAGGCTTAAGAAAGCATAATTACGGGTTTGTGCCTTGCAGATGACGCTTGCCAAGCAAATAATTCCGGGGAAGAAAACAAAAAGACACCTACCAAAAGGAGATGGGCAGGGTATCATTCATTACTTCCTTGTCAATTGGGTCAAATTTCTTTTCACCGGCATAGTAGTTGCTTCTTTTTCTTCTCTTTTGATGATTGTTTCCAGCTATTGTTTGTATTCACAAGTCACAACCTAATTATGAATTCAGCAATCAATCTTGCAAATTACTTGGCCCTTAGGCCAAGTTTTGCAGAGAGCTTTAAGAGAGATGACTTTAGCATCTTGCAGTCTGGTCTGGTTAGTGTTTCTTGTTTTTTTTTTTTTGTTTTTTTAAATGAATTATGTTTCCAAGTAGTTAACCAGCTGATTGCAAACTAAATGGAAGTAACTTGGGAGCAAAGATAAACTATTATGGAACTGGAGCGATGGGAGTGTCGGAGACAGATAAATCAGTTCCTGTCAACAAAGCCCCAGGTAACAATAAGTCAACATGAAAATCTCAATAGTCATTCCCAGAGGAAGTTTTACACCTGATTTTTGCCAGATATATATCGTTATATCTACTTTAATTGTTACTTACACATTGAAGCAGAAACTACTGCATATTTCTGTGAAAAACAAAGAAACCATACGAGATTTAGAACAATTCTTCTTGTTTTAGAAAGTACTCTATCACTAGAAGAAAATCTTGTCATATAAATCTCTTTATAATACAGAGAACTCTAGTGCTACAACAGATTTATCAATCATTACTATTAGCAATTTAGTGCTACAACTACTTTGTACAGACTCCAGACCAAGAGACACTCAACACACTCACACACCAGCACACATGAGAGTAATGTTCTTACTACTTTGTAGAACATAATTATATACAGATTCGATAGACAAATAGGCCCACACAAGATAGCAATAGGAGCGAAAAATTAATTAGCACTGATTCCAGCATCTTTGTTAAGCTCCGATGCAGCAAGGTTGGCAATGTGGAACTGTGTTTTGTAACTGTTGGTAGAGCGGTCAAGAACAGGAGGTTCATTCAAAAATGCCCAATTGCTCCTTGTCCACCTACAATCATCCACGGAAAATCTTATGCTAATATTGTAACTTTAAGCCTTTTGGTGTTAACGAGTCAACTAAGATTTAGCAACTTACCATCCATTCTTCTTTATGATATTTTCCAGGCTCGTTTCTGCGTCCATGTCCACGAAACCCTGTTTTTTATTGGGCAAAGGCATGGAGCTTGATCTCATATATTTCCTTCCATACTCATCAAATGGAGTTTCCTGTTAGAGATGTCAAAATAAGGTACTAGTTCAGCAAAGAAATTATCCATGTATGAGTGAAAAAATAGGACTGGTCTTCAATTGGTTGTAAAATAAATAAAAATTTGTACCAGCTGGCTGCAGCTAGCTGATGGACTATAAATAGCCTTAAGATGCTCTTCCTCCGTTTTCTTCTTTGATCTCCAGTAAGCTTCAATCTCTTCCTTGGTAAGTGATCGATTTCTTTTGCGTATTACTGAAAAATTGTCAAATGACAAGAAATTAAACAACAGGGTTAAGTAGAAAATAAAAAACACCATGGAAACACTAAGCCATGTAGTATAAACCAGATAAGAGTTTACTGCAATAACCTGATTTAGGATCTGATACTGGAGAATCCCATCCTGCCATTAGAGAACCCATCTTGCCGATGATCTTTCACTTGCTTGAACCAAAACTAAGTATTACGTGTCGTAGCAAATATCTTAAGGAAAGGCCTTTTATAGAGGTGAGTTGGACCTTATCTTATCTTTTCCATTGTTTTCTGTCGGGGCATCCGCCTTTTTACTCGTTCTTATCCTCACAACGATATTTGTTCCTCTGAAAATGGAGACAGTGGGGCATATTTATTGAGATGGTGACAAAAATGATTAGGTCTTTTGATTGGGATAAGCTCCACTAGCTCTTGTAAAATACTCTAGTATTTCACTGCCCACAGACTTCACATTATGCTGTGGCAAGACCAGGTGGATTCAGAAAAGTTGTGGCCCGATGCATCCGTTTTGATCTTATTTGCCTGTCACATTCTCATGTCCCATTTGAAGTGTTCAACACCAAATTATTGACATTGCGCATTCATTAACAGACCAGTTTCTAACCCGAGATCCATGAGTCGGAGGATAAAGGAAAAAACCTGGTTTGTCGTGTTGGTATACAGTCAGCAATCTAGGCCCGTTAATAAATGAATTTACCTGAGTCTGAGGTGAATCGATCTTCCCTTTTCTTTCTCACTCCATCTCTTCACCTTCTTCTCTCTTGTTTACCGTCATCCACTTATAAAATTATACATATAATTTTTATAATCCTTTATACATAAATTTTTTTGTCACTTTCTTACAAAAGTTATATATAAATTTACAAGTGGAAGACGGTAAACAAGAGAGAGAAAAAGGTGAAGAGATAGAGTGAGAAAGGAAAAGAAAAAAGAGAAAGAAAAGGAAAAAAGAAAGGAATTGGCCTCCATTAACTTAGATACACTGAGACTTTAAATAGAAAAATTCTAACTTATAAATAGTAATTTTGTATAGTAGCCGCTATAGTATACGATAGAATTTTTATCTACAGTATCCCTACAATGACTTGCTACAATGTCTTTTGTAGTAAGTTTATGTCTTTTTTTGTTACTGTGACTGCTAAAGTGACATTTTATCTGTTTGTTACAGTTCTACTATAGTTGATTGCTACAATGTTTTCTGTCTATTGATCGTTGGCACCAAATGTAGTTTGTCTTTTAGTGTCGGCTGTTTATTTTGACTTATCCTGGATTAGAATATGCACAATTTTATCCTTCATAACATTGTTTAAGTTATGAAAATTTTCATCCAGTGTGTTAAGGGGCTGGAGAGATTGAGGAGATCCAGAATGTGATTTGTTTCACATTTGTCATCCTTCTTGGTATTGGTATAGTAATTTTGTCGGATGATCTAAATCTTCCATGTTTGATAATTTTTTCAGTAGCTCAATTGCATCTGGAGCATTTTGTATATCAAGATCGTCATGTGGTTCAAGAAATTTGATAACAAAAATGCGTCTGCCATTTGTCCAGTAAGCTATTCTTGAATAGTCTGATTTTGTGGCTAGATGGAGAAAGAATTTTGCTTTTTTTATAAGATCAGTTCCTGTTTGGAAATGGTAACTGTTTGGATTGGTATATTTAGTGATGATTTTGTTTAAATAATCTGAGAACTCGATATGGCTATTAGTGGATCAAGTATATTAAGGGGTTGAAGAAAATGTCCACCGGATATTCTATCAAATTTTCATATTTGATAAGGTTGATAAAATCTTTCTCTTTGAAAGGTACCTAAAAGACTATATATGATAAAATGAATGTAGTAAAAATATTTTGACCATTTTATATATTCAATAAAGCGATATTTTATAAAAGCTGAAAAATCGTTTAAAATGTGAAAAGAAAAGTTTTGTACAGTAATTTGTCCGACTAAACCAAATTCAATGTTTTTTACATCAAAGGTTTCATGATCAAGTCGAAATTTAATTTTAGGTATATATTCTTTAAAAATAGTATTAGACATATACGTAGAAGTATAATAATCAAAATTTTTTTCTATCAACAGGTTTTCTATTGATTGTAAAATAAAAGAATTAATTTGCAAGAATAATTCTTTAGTTAAGAATATTGCAGCTTTTTCAAAAAGAAAAATTCTCTTAAACTTGTTTAGCTTAGAGGAGACATAATTTTTTTTTTCAAAACATTCACATAGATTCAAAAAATTGTTGATCTCTTGAAAGCTATACTGATTTCTTCCAAAGCAAAAAAATCAATATCTTGATGTTTTAGCATATTTGTTGATAGAAGACTTTGAAAAGCTATTTCTTTGAAATTATGAAATTTTTTAGCCTGGTTGACTAAGACTCAACTAATTTGGTCATCCCTTTTCGAAAGCTGGATTTGTTTTCTGAGAAATGGGATTTTCAAATATTGTTTAACAATTTGTAGACTTGTGGTTCAAGTTCAGGGTTATAAAAATCTTTAATCTCTGGGTTAGAGAGTTTTGTTCTTTCAAGCAGTTATTCTGCTGAAGAGTATATTTATGAATAACTAATAGGAGTCCATTCGTTTGGATCTTGAGCAAATTGAAAAATTTTGATTGAATTCTCATGAAAGGAGGTCTGTAAAGTGGTGGTTGGTAGCGATATAATCATTGGTTAGGATTAGTGTAAAAGTTAAATCCTGGGTTAGGATTTGTACAGACTAGAGGTCTTGAAGAAGAAGAAGGAGTAGAAGAGGAAAGAGGGTACCTGTCTTCTTCTTGATTGTTTTTCATCCATTTGTATCATGGACTGGTTGTTTTTCCTCGATCCATGTAATTAACTCAGATAGTCTGCAAGGAGATTTTTGTCTTCGTTGCTAAACTCTACCTGAAAATGATACTGGTAAAAAAAGTTATACCACCGTATTCACCTGAGATTATCAGAAAGCTTTCTATTTTGTAGAAAATTTTTTACTGCTTCGGTTATTTGTTCTGATAACAAAGATATTTGGGGCTAAATAGATGTGAAAATATTGTACACCATTTTTTATGGCTAATAATTCTTTTTCAAATATAATATAATTTATTTCGTTCGGTTTGAATTTACTAGAATTATAGCCATAAATCAATTCATCTTTTGATGAAGATTTTTTATTTTAAGGACACATCCCTAATGTTCATCACTGGCATCTGTCTCTAAAATAAGTAAATCACCTTGTTTAGGCAGATAGACTTTAGGTATAGTGCTTAAATCTGATTTGATCTGTTTGATAATATTAGAATCGTTTGGTGTCTAGACAAAATCATTATCTTTTTGTAATTTACACAAAAAATAGCTTTCTATTTTAGAAAGGTTTTTAAAAAATTACCTGTCATAATTGAGATACCTAACAACTATTGTAGCTTTCTGACATTATCCAGTTGTTCTGAAAACTTCTTGATCTTTGATATAATGTGATCCTGCAATGTTAGTCCATTTGTAGATAGATTAAGACCAAAAATTATTAGCCATAAAAAATATTGTACAGCGTTTTCACATCTATTTAGTCCCGAAGATCTTTGTTATCAGAATAGATAACCAAGCAGTAAAAAACTTTTTCCAAAATGAAAAGCTTTCTGATAATCCCAGGTGAATACGGTGGTATAACTTTTTTTGTCAGTATCATTTTCAAGTAGAGTTTATCAATAGAGACAAAAACTTTCCTGCAGACTATCTGAGTCGATCACATGGATCGAAAAAAATAACCAGTCCATGATACAGGTGGATGAAAAACAATCAAGAAAAAGACAGGTAAAAAACCCTCTTTCTTTTTACTCCTTCTTCTCCAAGACCTCTGGTCTCTACAAATCCTAACCCATGATTTAACTTTTACATTAATCATAACCAAAGATTATATCTCTACCAACAATCGCTTTACAGACCTTCTTTCATGATAATTCAATTAAAAATTTCTCAATTTGCTCAAGATCCAAATGAATGGACTCTTATGAGTTATTCACAAATAATCTCTTCAGCAGAACAATTGTTTGAAAGAACAAAACTCTTTAACCCAGATATTAAAGATTTTTATAACCCTGGACTTGAACCACAAGTCTACAAATTGTTAGACAATGTTTGGAAAATCTCATCTCTCAAAAAATAAATTCAACTTTCAAAAAAAGATGATTAAATTAGCTGAGTTCTTAGTCTACCAAGCTAAAGAATTTCAAAATTTCAAAGAAATAGCTTTTCAAAGTCTTCTATCAACAAATCCACTAAAACAATAAGATATTGATTTCTTTGTTTTGAAAAAAAATTAGTACAGTTTTCAAGAGATCAACAATTTCTTGAATCTATGTGAATATTTTGAAAAAGAAAATTATGTCTCCTCTAACCTAAACAAGCTTAAGAGAATTCTTCTTTTTGGAAAAGCTACAGTATTCTTAACCAAAGAATTATTCTAGCAAATTAATTCTTTTATTTTACAATCAATAGAAAACCTGTTAATAAATTTTTTTTTTATTATTATACTTCTACGTATATGTATAATACTACTTTTAACGAATATATACCTAAAATCAAATTTCGACTTGATCATGAAACCTTTGATGTAAAAAACATTGAATTTGATTTAGTCGAATAAATTACTGTACAAAACTTTTCTTTTCACCTTTTAAAAAATTTTTAGCTTTTATAAAATATCACTTTATTGAATGTATAAAATTATCAAAACATTTTTACTACATTCATTTTACCATATATAATCTTTTGGGTATCTTTCAAAGGGAAAGATTTTACCAATCTTATCAAATATGAGAATTGATAGAATATTCAGTGGACATTTTCTTCAACCCCTTAATATACTTGATCCACTAACTGACCATATCGAGTTCTCAGATGATTTAAACAAAATCATCACTAAATATACTAATCCATACAGTTACCATTTCCAAACATGAACTGATATTATGGAAAAAGTAAAATTCTTTCTCTATCTAGTCATAAAATTAGACTATCCAAAAATAACTTGCTGGATAGATGACAAACGCATTTTTGTTATCAGATTTTTTAAACCACATGACGATCTTGATATACAAAATGCTCCAGATGCAATTGAGTTACTAAAAAAATGATCAAACATGAAAGATCTAGATCATCCGATAGAATTACTATACCAGTACCAAAAAGGATGGTAAATGTGGAACAAATCACATTTTGGATCTCCTTAATCTCTCTAGTCCCTTAACGCACTGGATGAAAATTTCATAACTTAAACAATGCTATGAAAGGATAAAATTGTGCATATTTTAATCCAAGATAAGCCAGAA